CACACACACACACACGGAGCAAGGGACACAAGAAATCTTTTGGAGGTGATAGTTATGTTTACGACCTTGATTGTGGGGATGGTATCGTGGGTGTATGCGTATGTCCAAACTTGCCAAAATGTATACATTGAATATGTGCCATTTCTTTGGGTATATTAAATATACCTCAAAAAAGCTGAAAAGAAGAAAAAGAAATGCTAAGGACAAAATAAAGTAGGGAATGTATGGGAGGATAGTGGTAATTTTAGGTGGGCTGGCCAGGAAAGGCTTCTCTGAAAGGGTGGTATTTGGATAAAGATCTGAAGTAAGTGAGGTAGTGAGCCATGCAGATTATATGACAGATGTTAATATATATCTTTTGCAATTATTTAAACCTTGAATAAAAAGTTCTAGATGCCAAACTCATTGTATGAGGTCAGCATTACCTTGATTCCAAAACCAGACAAAGACCCTACTAAAAAGGAGAATTAAAGACCAATATCCCTGATGAACATGGATGTAAAAATCCTCAACAAAATACTAACTAACTGAATCCAACAGTACACTGAAAGGATTATTCACCATGATCAAGTGGGGCTTATTCCTGGGCTGCAGGGGTGGTTCGACATCCACAAATCAATCAATGTGATACACCACATTAATAAAAGAAAGGATAAGAACCGTATGATCATCTCAATAGATGCAGAAAAAGCATTTGACAAAATACAGCATCCTTTCTTGATTAAAATCCTCAGAAAAGTAGGGATAGAAGGAACATACCTCAACATCATAAAAGCCATATACAAAAGACCCACAGTTAGCATCATCTTCAATGGGGAAAAACTGAGAGCTTTTCCTCTAAGGTTAGGAACATGGTGGGGATGTCCACTCTCACCACTGTTGTTCAACATAGTACTGGAAGTCCTGGCCTCAGCAATCAGACAACAAAAAGAAATAAAAGGCATCCAAATGGGCAAGGAAGAAGTCAAACTTCACTATTTGCAGATGACATGATACTCTATGTAGAAATCCCCAAAGATTCCACCAAAAAACTGCTAGAACTGATACATGAATTCAGCAAAGTTGCAGTATATAAAATTAATGTACAGAAATCTGTTGCATTCCTATACACCAATAATGAAGCAGCAGAAAGAGAAATCAAGGGATTGATCCCATTTACAATTGCACCAAAAACCATAAGATACCTAGGAATAAACCTAACCAAAATGGTAAAAGATCTGTACATTGAGAACTATAGAACACTTAATGAAAGAAATTGAAAAAGACACCGAAATGGAAAAACATCCCATGCTCATGGATCGGAAGAACAAATATTGCTAAAATGCCTATTCTACCCAAAGCAATCTACACATTCAATGCAATCCCTATTGAAATAACATAAGCATTTATCACAGAGCTAGAACAAACATTCCTAAAATTTGTGCGGGACCAGAAAAGACCCTGAACAGTCAAAAGAATGTTGAAAAAGAAAGCAAAGCAGAAGGTATCACAATTCCGGATTTCAAGCTCTATTACAAAGCTGTAATCATCAAGACAGTATGGTACTGGCACAAAAACAGAAACATAGATCAATGGAACAGAATAGAGAACCCATAAATGGACCCTCAACTCTATGGTCAACTAATCTTCAACAAAGTAGGAAAGAATAGCCAATGGAAAAAAGACAGTTCCTTTAACAAATGGTGTTGGGAAAATTGGGACAACTGGACAGCCACATGCAGAAGAATGAAACTGGGCCACTTTTTGCACCATATACAAAAATAAAATAAAAATGGAATGAAAGACCTAAATGTAAGAAAGGAAACCATCAAAACCCTAGAGGAGAGCACAGGCAGCAACCTCTCTGACCTCGACCTCAGCAACTTCTTATTAGACATGTCTCCGGAGACAAGGGAAACAAAAGCAAAAATGAACTATTGGTACTTCATCAAGAAAAAAACTTCTGCACAGAGAAGGAAACAATCAACAAAACTAAAAGACAACCTATGGAATGAGAAAGATATTTACAAATGATATCAGATAAAGGGCTAGTGTACAAAATCTGTAAAGAACTTATCAAACTCAACACCCAAAGAACAAAGAACAAACAATCCAGTTAAGAAATGGGCAGAAGACATGAATAGACCTTTTTCCAGAGAAGACATCCAGATGGCCAACAGACACACGAAAAGATGCTCTACATCTCTCATCATCAGGGAAATGTCAATCAAAACCACAATGAGATACCACCTCACACCTATCAGAATGGCTAAAATTAACAACTCAGGAAACAACAGGTGTTGGCGAGGATGTGGAGAAAAGGGACCCCTTTTGCACTGTTGGTGGGAATGCAAACTGATGCAGCCGCTCTGGAAAACAGTATGGAGGTTCCTCAAAAAATTAAAAATTGAACTACTCTGTGACCCAGTAATTGCACTACTGGGTATTTATCCAAAGGATACAAAACTGCTGATTTGAAGGGGCACATGCACCCCAATGTTTATAGCAACACTATCAACAATAGCCAAATTATGGAAAGAGCCCAAATGTCCATCAAGTGATGAATGCATAAAGAAGATGTGGTATATATACACAATGGAATATTACTCCACCATCGCAAAGAACGAAATCTTGCCATTTGCAATGATGTGGATGGAACTAGAGTGTATTACGTTAAGCGAAATAAGTCAGTCAGAGAAAGACAAATACCATATGATTTCACTGATATGTGGAATTTAAGGAACAAAACAGATGAACTAGGGGAAGGGAAGGAAAAATAAAATAAGATAAAGACAGAGAGGGAAGCAAACCATAAGAGACTCTTAACTACAGGAAACAAATTGAGGGCTGCTGGAGGGAAAGTGGGTAGGGGGATGGGCTAAATGGGTGATGGGCATCATTTGGAACGAGCACTGGGTATTGTATGTGGGTGATGAATTGCTGGATTCTGATCCTGAAACCAGTGTTGCACTGTATGTCAAATAACTTGAAATTAAATTAAAAAATTATATATCTTGGGGCACCTGGCTGGCTCAGTTGGTGGAGCTTGTGACTCTGATATTGAGGTTGTGAGAGTTTGAGCCCCATATTGGGTGTAGACCCTACTTACAAAAATAAAATAAAATAAAATAAAAAAATTCTAGATGCCAGCTTTAAAATGTGTGAAGGGGTAATTGGCTTAAACATTTTTTTTTAGAACAAACTATCAGAGAAATTAAGAAAACAATTCAATTTACAATAGCATCAAAAAGAATAAAAATACTTAGGAATATATGTAACCAAGGTGATAAAAGATTTGTACAGTGAAAACTCTAGGATGTACGTACATATCAATATAATGAACATTATTCAGCCACAAGGAAAAAGGAAATTCTGCTGTTTGCATCAGTGTGGATAGATCTAGAGGGCGTTATGCTAAGTGAAATAAGTCAAACAGAGAAAAACAAAGACTGTATGAATTCACTTATGTGGGGTCTTGAAAAATCAGAACTCGTAGAAACAGAGTACATTGGTGATTGCCAGAGGCTGGGAAGTGGGGGAAATGAGTGATGGGGGTCAAAGGGTATGTACTTCTGGTTATAAGATGAAGCCTGTAGCCTGAAGAGAGGATGAGTTTGGGGATGGGAGTGCATATTAGTTTCCTAGGGCTTCCCATAATAAAGTAAAATGGATGATTTTGAATCATGCTCTCTCTGAAACTGGTAGGGGAGAATCCTATCTTGCCTCTTCTAGCTTTTGGTATTTGCTGGCAATCCTTGGCATTCCTTGGCTTGGAGATGCATCGCTGCAGTCCCTGACTCCGTTGTCACCTGGCTATCTACCCCTGTGTGTGTGACACTTCATGTGCGACACTGTGTCCAAATTTCTCTTTTCTTTGAAGGACAATAGTCATATTGGATTAGGGGCTCACTGTAGTTCGGTATAACCTCACTAATTACATCTGCAATGATCCAATTTCCAAATAAGGTCACCTTCTGAGGTACCAGGGGTTAGGACTTCCACAAATCATTCTGGGGGACACAATTCAACACATAAAAGGGTGGCAGTCTACTTGAGGGTGAAGGGGCCTATGTACCCACTGTTGACTGTAATCGGCACTTCAAGGGGGCTTGCTACTGGAGGGCCCCCCGTGCCTCCTGGGCAGCGTTCTCAGAAATGGAGGATGTGTGGTCATGGAGGGATGAGGGAGAAGGGAGATGTGTTTCTTCATTCATTTAAAACAAGGTCTGGGTGGAATGCTTTCATCTCCAGGATAGAGGGAGTGGGTGTCAGGTAGGGTGGAGGAAGGACCATCTAGAATCAAGGACTCTGGGAGTGTTAGAAAGCAGACCTGCCATGTGTCAGGCTCAGGAAGAGTGCTGGTGGGAGAGTAATTGCCCTGTCTTCCTCCATGGTCATGAGTATTCTTCCCCTGCTCACCTGCATGCAGAGTGTGAAGTGTGGTCCCGGACTGTGGTGGAGGGAAACGGGAGATACGGGATAATCACATGGATCCTCGCATGGGTTCAATTGGCCTTTTTAGTCAAGTGCCAGCTATCATTGCAGTGGCTCATTATTTTACTGATCTGATCTAATTAACCACTGCCATTCCCTTTGGCCCAGTGTAGAAAGTGTGAATGGAAGGCAGGAGGGATGCATTTTTATTAAGGGCACCAGAAAATGGCTTTAATAGAATGACTCAGACTTTGACTATTTTCGGGATGACAAATCCTGGTTCTTTGGAGGTTGATTTAATTTTTGGAAACGCTAAAATGTCACTAGGCACTGTACGTGAAGGATTCAACCAGAACTGGAGTGGCATTTGCAGTAGAAGGAGGCCCAGCACGTGGGGCAGTGGCTCAGCGTGAATAAAAAGTGCTTGTTAGAGGCTGTGTCCTCAAGGCAGGCTGTGACTGGCCGAGGGCCCGGGTCAGGACACCCAGGGCCTCTTGGCTTTCTAGGTAGGGTTTTGCTCTCCATCTCCTCCGGGGCCCACCCCACAGAGCACAGACACACAGCGAGTTGGATGCTTCAGTTTAATCATGCTGGGCTGCAAGCATGTTTAAGGCTCTGAGTCCAGGGACCCCATTCTTTTCAGCTTCTCAGACTACAGCTACATTGAATTTTTCAACCAAGTTTTTCAGATTTTTGTCCCGTTCAGCTCCACCTAGAAGAAAGCAGAGGTGAGAATGAGGTTCATAGGCTCCAGGCACCAACACCCACCCCCCCTTCCATCCCCCTCAACTCTGTCTTCTGCTTTCCAACCTCACCCAGCCCCTGGAGGGCCTTGCACAGAAGTTGGAGGGACGGAGGGAGGTTAGATTCATAGATTCACCAAAGGCCGAGGGACATGCCCCTTCCCCACTTGGGCAGGCTCTGCAGTGGGAAGGCTGGGGCTTAGACTGCAGGGGCAATCTAGTATCAGGCAACCATGTGGTTTGAGTGTGGATGAGAAATTGGAGGCATTTAAAGGCACAAAAGGAGACATTTGAAGGAGGAAAGGTTCAAGGGGAGGGGAGGGGCTGTGGTGGTTGCAGGTGTCCTGTGTGGGGTGGAGTCAGGTGTTCCTGCCCACCTCCTGCCCCTGGATGATGGATGGTGAGTATTCCTGTTCCCACAGAGCTTTGCCTTGGGAGGCACTCACCCTCAAAAAGACGTCTTCTACGGACACCTGGGTAGCTCTGTTGGTTAAGCAACTGCCTTCGGCTCAGGTCACGACCTAGGAGTCCTAGGATTGAGTCCCACATTGGGCTCCCTGCCTGGCAGGGAGTCTGCTTGTCCCTCTGACCCTCCCCCCACTCATGCTCTCTCTCTCTCATTCTCTCTCAAATAAATAAATAAAAATCTTAAAAAAAGATGTCTTCTAAACTGAAGTTCTTTATGCATTTTTTTTTTTTTTTGCTCTTTCTAAGCCAGGTGCTGTGACCAAGAGACTTTTATTTGCCAGGGATTCTAATTTTGGAGAAGAATCACAGTAGCAGAAAAGTCATCATTTTCAAGAAAACTCCCACCTCCCCTCCCATCCCTCACCAGACATTGTCCCGATACAAATTCCTCAAGTGAAGAAGTTTTGCTGAGGGGTCCAGCTTCTTTCTTATAGGAAGGCCCTCTTATAGGAGGGCCAGGAAAGAAACCACGCAGGCAGCAAAATCTACCATGGCAGAAGCTCCGTGTGTGGGTGCGGTGTGCACCCCTGTTTGTGCCTTTGTCCTCAGGTGAATGAATATGTGTTTCTCCCTGGGCTCGTCTCTGTGGGTGGAAGTGTCACGGAGGCCTGCCACCAGGGACTTCTCTGGGTTGTTATCTGGCATAGAGACAGAGACTTACTCAGTGGGTTTAGCTCTTCTGTACTTGGGGTGGCACTCTGTGGGTCCTGGGCCGGCTTTCGGGGTGAAGCAGGTTTTGCTGCAGTTGTAGTCCCTTCTGGTTCAGCTACAAACACACCAGTTGGTTGATTTTAGCATAGTCAAAGTTTTTTTTATTTTTGGAATGAGTGGCAGGGCCCTGGGATACCTAATATGTGCTGGGTGTCAAGACCCAGAAGTGATAAGATTTCTACACACAAGTGCCTGTTATGGACTGAATGTTCTCCCCCTCCAAATTCGTATTTTGAAATCCTAACCCCTTGATATGATGGTCCTAGGGGGTGGGGCCTGTGAGGTAATTAGGTCATGAAGGTGGAGCTCTCATGAATGGGGTTAGTGCCCTTATAAAAGAGACTCCACGGCTCTTTCTGCCATGTGAGGATATAATGAAAAGTTAGCAGTCTGTCACCAGGAAGAGGGTCCTTACTGGAACTCAAGCATGCTGGCACCTTGATCTCGGACCTCCAGCCTCCAGAACTGTGAGAAATAAATTTCTGTGGTTTAAGCTATCCAGTCTGTGGTGATTTGTTGTACAGCCCAGATGGACTAAGACAATGCCTCTTGGAAGGTGGGCAGGGTTGGGCACTTCTAATGGGTAAGGTTGGGGAGGGATTTGGGCTAGGCTATTTAGGGCGAATCAGAGAGCATGTCAGAGAGAAGCTGGGTCTTGAAGGGCAGGATTTTGTCAGGGGGGATATTCTAAAGGAGCTTCGTTGGGGGTAGGAAGTCAGTCAGCCAGAACTCAGGGCAAGGGATGCATGGAACGTGTGTGGGGAAAGCAAACCAGTTCAGTTTAGCTGATGTGGGCGGTACATGAAGGCGAAGCATGGAAAACAGGGTTAGAAATGATGTCTGAGGCTGAATAGTGGGCACTTGGCTAAGGAGTGGGGAGTGTGCGGGTGAAGGTATTAATACCACATGGGAAATTTCCCTTATCATTTAACCTCATCTTTTTCTCCCTTTTATTCACAACTTTCCCATTCTTCCTATTGATTTTTGCCTGCCTGGGTTGTCCCATTTCATCCTTAGGCTTGTCCCACCCCAATCCATGCTCCACCTATTATCACCAAGAGTAGGACACAGTCCCGCCCCCTCATTCCTCTCCCAGGCTCTACCCACAACCCCTGCTGTTAGCCCCTCCCCTTGAAGGCAGGGTCAGGAGGGAGGGAAGGACTCACTGGCCGCAGCCCCCCGGGGTGGGATCAGAGGAGCCACCTTCTGCACCTTCTGCCGCAGAAGAAAGAGGCGACAGTGAGGACTGAACCTGACCCCCGTGAGCCCTCCTACCTCCTTAGCCTCAGCTCTCAGGGGCGTTTGTGGACACAGGGAGATCCATTTCCTTATTGGTTAAATGTGCCCTTCTGCCTCATTGGTGGATCCACCAGGGTCATCTGTCTGGTGTTTAACCCCTCCTACAGCTGCTTGAAGCAGGTTCTCCTGGGAGAAGTGTAACATTCTCTGAGAACTGCCCTCCCCCACATTGCCCCTGGCCTGTGAGGGTGCCCTGAGATCCCCGCTGGGGAACCGGCTGTGGTTGGAGGGGCTCAGGTTCTTCTGTGGCAGAAGGGGACGGCGCACGGGCCATGGGCCATGCCTGAACGATTTCTGGGATTGGATCCCAGCCCTCATTCTCTTTATTCTTTCAACACGATGTTTAGCTCTCTGCTAAGTGGAGGGGGTTCAGTGCTGAGGAAGTGGAAAGACCCCGCCCTGACCCAGCGTCCATTCCAGTACATAATTCTCAAGTCATGGTGTGATGGTGCTGGAAGGGCAAGTCCTGCGTGGTGTGATAAGGGGTCTAATTTTTCCTCCATATTCTTTTTTGGAGAATTGATATCTAAACTGAGATTTGACAAATGAGAAAGCATTGGACAGGTGACATTCAGGGTTGGCTGGGGGGAGAGGACAGGGAGGGGAAAAGAGTTCCAGGCAGAGGGGAGAGCAAGAAGGAAGGTCCCGGTGTTTGTGGAGCAGCAGGGCTGTCCTGGCCTGAATAGTGCCTTTTTGGCTCTTTTCAGGAAGAGGCATCCTGAGAGACAAGGCCACTGGCAGGCCACTCCTCTTAGCAAGTGGAGTGTAAGCTAAATTTTAGCCTCCACTACTCCCTGCCTGGCACCCTTGTGCTGGGGATAACCTGCCCAGCTATATTCGGTGGCCCAGAAGCCCTGCAAGAAGGTCAATGTGGTTAGAGCATAGTGGGTAAAGGACGGTGTGTGAGGGGATGAGCCGGGAGACCAGGCATGGCCAGGGGATTCCTCACTCCCCGACCAGTGGGGTAAAGAGGCTATGTGTGGAGAACTGGGGGGAGGAGTTCCTTGCAGAGGCAGGAGGAACCAGGACAGCACTGGGAGAGAAAGAGAGGAATGAAGAGTGGAGGTAAAGCCCGGGACTGTCGGGGTTTGGGTGGGGTGCGGGGGGAGGGCCATACTCACCAGCATAGACCAAGGCTCCAGGCAGAGCTGCCAGGAAGAGGAGAGCCGAGAATCTCATGCTGTGGGATGAGAAATGAGTATAACCACAGAATCCTCAGAGGGTTCGGGAATACCAGTGCTGATACTGCTGGGCCCTTTTAAGGATACCAAGGGCCAATGGCAATCAAGTTTGGAGGGGTGTGACTTCCGTGTTCTCCTCCTCTTCTTCCCCAAACTTGCTAAGTCTCCAAGGGCTAGCTGGGGCTGGCTGATGCCTGGCATCCTTGCTGGGAGGTCCTTTCCTGACTGCCTTCCAGCCATCCTTTTCCTCCCTCTTTTCTTCTTCATCCCACTTGCCCTGTGGTTTCAATCTCTGGGATCTCAGGGACCACAGGCAGAACAAGTTTTGTTTGGGGAGATTCTGGAATGTGTCTGTTGAGGGTATTGGTAGGACTGGCATCTCCCCAGGAGGAGGTTGGGGGTTTGGAAGATCATGTTGTCTACTCCTTGCCTTGATCTGCACAGGACTTAGTGCAGAGGCTTGAAGGTTTCCCCACACTAAGTGAGTTTCCTTCCCTGGGGGGCCACACTCAGAACATTTGGGGACTGAGTTCATGGCTCCTTTCTCCTCTTGAGGGGATGGCCTTCGAGGCATGAATGACTTCTCTCGAGTTGTCTCCTGCTCTTAAGTTATTGTCTATCCCCTAGGAGGAACTCCCCAAACTCCACATGGGCCCCTGTCAATGTCTATCTTCAGGTCCAACCGATGGGAGCCCACATTTCTGAGAGGATCTTCTGATTACTGGACCATGGTGGTTCACTGAAGTTGGAACTTGGTTCTCCCTTCAAGTAGGGGAGCTGATCCATGGTGTCAACAATCAAGAAAAGCAGATAATTCTCTTTGACTTGGGATTTCTTCCTTCCATGAGCTGGGATTCAAAAGGCCCAGACCTTGAGTTCTGGCTTTGTCATATACATAGGGCAGTACATTGTTATATACTGAAAGACTTTCGGATTTTCCTTTGTCATCTAGGAGTTATGGCTCCTATGTAGAGGAGAGTGATGGAGATTGAGTAAGATAATACATGGCAAAGCATTTTTTAGACAATAAACTTCTATGCAGATGTGTGTGGGATACTTGTAGTTTGCAGAGGGCTCATCTTTCTGGGTAGGTTTGGCTCAGGCTGGTGCTAAATGCTGAATAGAATGGAATCATGGAGAAACAGGAGCCATTTGGGGGGCTTGTGAGTAGAGAATAGGGTCCTGGATATCAGTTTGTGATTCTCCATTTGCTCGGTGTTGGCTTTCACCAGGCCCCAGGTTGTTCTCCAGGCTTTTCTGCTTCAAGTCTACTCTGGAGATTGGTGTGGAAAGGGGGTATCAGGAAGTTTATAACATGAGGGTGCTTGGCTGCCTGGGTTCAGAGCATTAGTCTCCTCATTAGATAAAGGAAGAGAAAACTGATAAGGTGAGACATTACAAGCATGAGGAGTGGGTCCTTTTGGGCTATCCTTAACCCACATTTTACCCATCCTTAACCTCCAGGTAAGATGATGGTCACATTCAGGCAGCTGATTTGCTCCAGACATGGAGAGTGGGAACAGGATTAAATTAACTGCTCGCCCACTACCTCCCTGTGTGATTTGATATTTAAGATTTATATGGCATCTAATGGTGGCCAGCAGGTGAAGAGGGTTGTGTTGAATTAACGGAGGGATAGGACTTGGCATTGACTGCCTGCCTAAGGGTCCGGGCCTGGGAGCCTTGAAGATGGTGGTGGCCTTAACTTGATGGGGAAATCTTGAGGGTCAGGAGAGAGTTTTGACTACATCAGTGCCCTGGGATGTGTGTGCGTGTGTGTGTGTGTGTGTATCCGTGCATACACCATAGTAGGAGAGGCTCTGACTCTAGCTCCCAAACAGTCTCTATGAGCACATCAAAAAATCCAGCAGGAGCAAACCATGATATTTACACAAGTTTTTCTAAGAGGAAGTTAGAACTTTGGCATCAACACTAGAGCTGTCACAGAGCAGGGTCTTTCCAAATGTCACTGCTCAGCCCTGTTCTTCTCCTAATCCTTCCCTTGGCCTCATGAATTAAAGAGGCAGGTATTGACATAAATGGGAGTGAGACATTTGTTCTATAGAAATTTTTTTTTAAACTTATTTATTCGACAGAGAGTGAGCACAGGTAGGGGGAGCGGCAGGCAGAGGCAGAGGGAGAAGCAGGCTCCCCACTGAGCAGGGAGCCTGATCGAGTCCGGGGACTCGATCCCCGGACTCCAGGATCACGACCTGAGCCGAAGGTAGACGCCTTAATGACTGAGTTTGTAACAGGGCCGAGGTGAAATAATACCCCAAATTATAGGGCCTGGAAAAGAATTGGATACAGATATTAAAGAAAAGAGATACACCTCATGTATGTAGGTGGAGCTGTCTTCTGTGATGTCTCGTCTCCTAGGGTATCTGACCGCCATGATGACCCTGTCAGTTGCCACTGTGTCTTTTCTCATGTTCTGGTTATTCTCTATTCATCGTTCTTTGCTCCCCTCCTTGCCTCAGATTTATTCTCTGCCCATCTCTGCACTGGGCTGGAAGGATGACTTTTGTGGGGTACATCAACTGGGCTCTCTTGTCCTCTAGTGTCTACTTGAGTTTGGCCAATGGGAGACACCAGTGGGAGGTCAGAACGGGAAGAGGGAGAGGTCAAGGCATTTGTTCTTTCTGTTCTCCCCCTGCTTTCGCAAGTGTAGCCGGTAGGTGCTTTGGTAGGTAGACCTCTAAGATGGTTCCCAAAGATCCTCACCTCCTGGTATTCATTCCCTTGTGTAACACTCTCTGCCAAGCATGGACTGGACCTAGTGATTCACTTCTGACGAATAGAAAATGGCAAAAGTTAGAGGATGTCATTTCTGAGATTAGGTTATAAAAGACCATGACTTTTGTCTTGCTTATACACAGGTTTTAAAAGACCATGACGTCTGTCTTGCTTACACACACACACACACACACACACACACACATTCTCTCTCTCTCTCTCTCTCTCTCTCCCCCCCCCTCTGGGTCTTCTCAGCTTGTTTACCCTGATGAAGTGAGCTGCCATGGCATGAGCTGCTCTGTGGAGAGGCCCACATGGCAAGCATAGCCTGCAGCCAGGGAGAAACAGAGGCCCTCAGTCCAACAGTCTATGAGAAACTGAATCTTACCAACAATCATGTGATTGAGTTTGGAAGTGGATCCTTCTGTAGTTGGGTCTTGAGGTGACTGCAGTCTCGATGATACCTTCATCGTGCCTTGTCAGAGACTCTGAGCAGAGGACCCAGCTAAGCTACAGCTAGACTCCTGGTCCACAGCGATTGTGAGGTAGGAAGTGATGTTATTTGAAGCTGTTAGGTTTTGGAATAATTTGTTATGAAGCCACAGATAATTAGTGCAACATGGAGTAGCAATGGCTGTGTTCTTCTATGACAATAGCTTCTGTCTGGTGAAACTGGTTCCACAGCTCCATCTCCTAACTGGTGTCAGGGAATGCCATTTCCTTGCCCTGCTGCTTCACTGCTAGGAATGGTAATGCCTTTCTGCTGTCGTGAGTACTTACTTGCACCTCTGTAAATATTTTTTTTTTTCACTAAAAAGTCTCTTAAAAAGGTCTTTCTGAGTGTGCCATCTGTTTTCCGCCAGGACCCTGAGTGATACACCCCACCCTGTCTGACCCATGCTGAATGTCTTTTCCTTGTTCCCCTCCTCCTGGGTGTTAAACCCCGTCCTGGGGTTAGAGGGTTAGCAGACACTCCAAAGGAAGAAGTGACACAGACTCTTGAGGTAGATAACTCACATATTTAAGACACAGACATAAGCTGTATTTACGAGGGGTATATTACCCTGACTGCTGTGGTTCACATGGCTGGTCTTCTCTGCCAAGCTCTTATGCGCTTGCCCAAACTGCCATACTCCCCTGATGCCCCTGATCATTCATCTTACCCATGGTAAGGTATGAAGACAAAGCAATAGAGTGGAATTTTTTAAAAGACTCTTTCTTATTCTACTTATTTAACAAACATACAGCATGCAATATGTGCCAAGCAAGCACTGTTTTCAGAGCTTTAGAAATTTTAATCTCATTTAATCCTCAAAACCCCCCAATGAGATAGCTACTATTAATACTCTCACTTTACAGATGATGAAACTAAGGCAAAGGCAGGGTAAGGGAATGGCCCATGATCACACAACTGGTATGGGGCATAGCTGGTTTCAAACATGGGCTTTTTGTCTCCAGAATCTGTGCTATCAACCACAAGTCCATGCCTGAATATTAAATTCTATTTTATATTTAATATTAAGCCTCCATAACATTAAGTTTCTCTAGTCTTAACTAATCAGGACCTGTATTAATCAGGGTTCTCTAGGGAAAACAGAGCTAATTGTGTGTGTGTATATGTATTTATTTATTATTTTAAGGAATTGGCTAATATGATTATGGAGGCTGGCAAGTTCAACATCTGTAGTTCACATCTGAAGGCTGTCTGCTGGCAGAATTCTCTCTTGCTCAGGGAAGATCAGCCTTTTGTTCTGGCCAGGCTTCAACTGATTACATGAGGCCCACCCATATTCTGAAGGGCAATCTGCTTAACTCACGGTCCACTGATTTAAGTATTAATCTCATCCAAACCCTCCTCACAGAAACATCTGGAATAATGTTTGACCCTATATCCGAGCACTGTGGCCCAGTCAAGTTGACACATAAAATGAACCATTACAATATCCTTCAACATTTTGATTTTGGAAGGTTTAGTGAACATCAGGTAGGGCCTAGAGGGAAAAAAATACATGTCACGTGCAACTTCAGGAAGCTTTTTCCAGGCCTTAATGTGAAGGACTCTTTTATTTATTTTTTTTCTGTTCCCGGTTTCACAGGTGAAGTGGTGAGCTCCAGGGAGCCACAGAATAAGTCCATAAAGAACAAAGAGCCAGCCCTGTTGCCTATGGTCTAAGCAAAAAGAATTCTCGTGGCTCCCATGTGATCCAGCTACTTCCCTTGGCAATGACCAGATAGGGACTTGAAGTGAAAGGCCAGGGTTAAGGGTCACAAATTTCAATGACTACAGGAGTCAGGCAGGTAACATAAATGAGCCAGGCAGGC